TACAGATATTTGTCACCATGAGTCATTTCAGGGCTGTAACTCTGCTTTGAAATGAAGATGACACAGGAGCCACCCACCTGATGAGATTTATGTTCCAAACTGAGTTATCCAAATGGATAACTCTGATTATGTTGCCAGTCAAAATTGGGAAAGAAGAGCAGAAACAAGGCAAACACTCCCTGGGAGTTCTCCCTCTTCGATATACAAATAGAATATTTTCCCAGGAACTGAACAGTCCTTTTTTATATATAAAACCTCAAAAGAAAACCGATTTTCTTAAGGAAAATCAATTGTTGTTGTTATAAACTGGAAAGAAATGACTTTAAACACTGTCACAGGTTTCTTTTCAGGAGTATCCAGTGGATTAATTTGCACTGCATTCAGTTGTCATTAATTAAAGAGAAGCTTGTCCAACTTGTTGAGTCAATGAAGAAATTTGTGGTTGATCAATAGGCCAAGCACAATGGACTGAGGGGGTTTATTTTTTATAAACATATCTGTGCATACAGCAATCAATGTTTAATCATCCCATGGGATTAACAGCTCCAGAAATCTATATTTCCCAGTCTTTAAGAGAACACTGTTTCTCAGCAGGAGGCAGGGAATAAATCCCCTTTCATTTGACAGCACGAGCGTTTTCTGCTGCAATAAAATCCTGCCACAATTACAGCCCTTTTTCTCTGATGTCAGGGAAATACATTTTGCTTTTCTGGTGGTTTTTTTTTGGGGTTGTTTTTTTTTTGCTTTTCAGCTTTAGGACCAGAGATTTCTAAATATTCAAAAGTAACCAAGAAAAAAAAAAGGAGTTTTCCCAGTGAAGCCTCTGGATTTATTAGGCCTGGATATGCTCTGCTCCATTAATTACAGCTCAGGCCCGTGACAATCTTAATAAATGCTCCAAAAACTGAGCTCATTTTTCCTCAGCGCCCCACAAATCCTCCCAAACCATTGGAAAACTGTTGTTTCAAAGGAAATTTCCCACCCTGTGTGTCATCCTTGTCTTTGAGAGGCAAAGGGCCTTTGATTAGAAAAAATTCTCGAGGCGAAGGGCTTGGATTTTTCCCCCTTCAAAAGTTCCTTTTCCAGCAGATCCTGGTTCTTCCTTAATATTTCTTAATATTAAGAATATTTCTTAATATTCCTTAATATTCCAGCTCTGGCCAGGTGAGTTGAGGTGCAGAAGATGTTTTGGGGCTGTGTTTGCTTGTGGGTTTTCTCGACTGGTTTATGTCAAACAGCAAGGCCTCGATGCCAGGGAGAGGCTCTCCAGGGAATTTTAAGGAATTCAAGGATGAGGATTTGCCTCCTTCCCATCCAAGGAGCCAAAATCGATGCCCCAGATCTCCAGGGGGGAAGGGTTGGGTGGTTCTTGGTGCTTCCATCAGTGTTGGGAGTCTCCTCCTTGGAGCGTCTCCAGTTTGGGGCTGGGATTTTGCCCCACCCTGAGGCCTTTTAGGAATCAAAATCTTATTTTTAGGGGTGTCTTGGGCATTTCAGTGTGGCTGTTTATGTCTCAAAATCATGGGTTGAAAATAAGCTGGAAAATCCTTGTTCCTCCAGCTGCTTCCAAAGTTCTCCAACTCCATGGAGACCTGACCTTCCTTTTTGTCGAGTCAGCAAATAAATAAGATCAATTCTTTTAGTATTTTTCAGCTCAATTCCTATATTTGTTTTCGATTATTTCAGTATTTTTCAGCTCAATTCCTACATTTATTTTCATTTCTTTTCATATTTTTCAGCTCAATTCCTATATTTATTTTCAATTATTTTAGTATTTTTCAGCTCAATTCCTACATTTATTTTCGATTATTTTAGTATTTTTCAGCTCAATTCCTACATTTATTTTTAATTATTTTAATATTTTCCAGCTCAATTCCTACATTTATTTTCAACTATTTTAGTGTTTTTCTGCTCAATTCCTATATTTATTTTTGATTATTTTAGTATTTTTCAGCTCAGTTCCTACATTTATTTTCATTTCTTTTCATATTTTTCAGCTCAATCCCTATATTTATTTTCAATTATTTTCATATTTTTTCATCTCTATCCCCACGTTTATTTTCAATTATTTTAGTATTTTTCAGCTCAATTCCTACATTTATTTTCAATTATTTTTACATTTTTCAGCCAAGAGTGCAGTTGGTGTTTCACACCAGATTTGGGAATGTGCTGGGAAGGCTACCTCAGGAATGTCCTGGAGTGATTCCTTCATGGATAACTTTATTTTCCAGGGGGAAAGAGAAGCTTGAAAGTGGGATGTGGCAAAAACTGGGTGGATATTTCCTTTATTTATTTATTTATTTATTTATTTATTCCACAGCGAGCTGAAAAATCAGGCAAAGGTTTGTTTTCTGTCCAAATAAGTGACAATTTTGTGATGTTTCGTGTTTTTTTTCTGACTTCCATGGCAAAAAAAAAAAAAAAAGGGATTAGAACAGAGCTGGTGTCGATTGCAAGGGAAAAAAAGAATGTGGGAAAAATCCCAATATCCAGGAGCGGCTTAGGAGGCAAAATACTGAAATTCCTGAGATTCCAGAATTAATTCTGATTCCTTACAATGAGCTGCTGTACAAATATTCCCAATTACACCTTGTGTTTGGATAAACAACTGCAGGAAGAGAGAGGCTTCAGCAAATAATTGCAATAATTAAGGATTAAAATTCACAATTACCCAAACCAGCCATAAATTCTCATCAAATTCTGTCACTCTTTGAATTATTCCTCTCTTCTCCACCTCCCCAAACAGGAGCAATAGAGAGGCTCCAATTTTTTATCCGTTCTGAAAGCAAAATATTTTGATTTTTCCTTTCGGTTTCTGCCTCCTGAGCCACTCCTGGATGTTGGGATTTCTCCGTAGGAAGCAACACCTTTTTATTTCCCTTGAAACCAACACCAGCTCTGCTCTAATTCCTGGGGTTTTTTTTTTGCCATGGAAACCAGAAAAAAACCCCATAAAACATCACAAAATTTAATGAATAATTGTCCACCGATATATGGGAACCTCGTGGAATTATGGAATTTTTGAGGTTGGAAAAACCTTCCAAGACCACCAAGTGCAACTTCCAAGGCCACCAATGCCCCATGTCCCCAAATGCCACATCCACAGGGCTTTGAAATCCCTCCAGGGCTGGGAATTCCATCCTGGAAAACCCGTTCCAACGCTTGACAACCCTTTCCACAAAGAAATTTTCCCTCCTCAGCCCCTCTGTACTCGTGTAAAATACTTCAAAAATCAAAATATTGCCACTTTTAATCCCACAAAAGGTGGGATTATTAATTATTAATTAATAATTTGCAGGGAAAGTTTGCTGGTTCCTTCTCGGTGAAATATGATGTTCTATTTCAGGGGGTATAAAATAAATGAAATAAATGAAATAAAAACTTTTCCATCCTTAATGAACTCTGGGTGGGTGAAGGAGTTGAGAGGCCTGACAGGTGGAGTGAGCCTTGTGGAAAATCTCATTTGAGCATCACTGCACCTGTACAGGTGCCTTGGCATGGCTGGTAAATATTTAATGATTTTTCCCTTTGTTTCCTGCACTTTAGGCAGAGGAATATTGCAAAAATATTACAAAACTATGGCAAAACCCAGTCACTCTACTGCCAAAAAAGGGGGATGATTTCTGCTTATCTCTAAAGCTGATGGTAGAGACAGTGTGGCACTATTTTTCCTGCTTAATTAGATTGTTTTTCTCTTTTCATTTCTTGGTGAGGAGGCTCTGAAATAAGAGAAACTGCATTTGGATGTCGGGAAGTGAAGTTTATAAAGCCCCCCAAAAAATCTACGCTTTGCAATTTGTGACTTTGCTTTTTACTTTTTTTTTGTTTTTGCTTTGACTTTCTTTGTCCCCTGAAATCCATCCACCTTTGAGACTACAAGGGCTGCTGGATATTGGGATTTCTGCACAGGAAGCAACACCTTTTTATTTCTCTTGAAATCAGCACCAGCTCTGTTCTTATTCCTGGGGGTTTTTTTATGCATTAAGGTCATTAATGACTTATTTCATTCTCACTCATCACCAAAAGTGGTTGGAAATCAAACTGTCTCTCTGATTACTTTGAAAAACTCGTTGACTCTAATGAGGAGGCGCCTCCCAATCCATGAAATCTTGGCTTTCCCAGCCCAGAAAACGTATTTTCCTTTGCTGTTGGCCAGTGTTGTTTTAAAATCATGGAGGGAACAGGGATACAAGTCCTGAGAGTCCATTTACTTGCTCAGGTTTGAAGGAATAACATTTGTGAATGAGAAAACTCACCCTCAGGAATCTGATGGGATGACCTGGAATGAGCAGCGATTTTGAGAGGAAACACAGAGATTATTTAAAATTTTTACAAGCAAGTTTTAAACTTAAGGGGCAGATTTTTGAAGAAATTGAGGGTTTAGTCAGTATTTAAAAATGCCCCAGCTTGTTCTGGAGTGTTTGAGTTGCCATCACAAACCAGGTGATGATCCCTTGTTGTCTCCCTTGTGTGGTGAGTGTCTAAAATGCTCCTGAATTGGGTTAACTCTGCTTTTTTCCTACTCCAAACCCCATCCCAGGGCCACTGGGCTGTGCCAGCTTTGCTACAGGATCCTCTCTGGGAGGAGAGGACAAGAGGATAAAACAAATTCCAATTTTTGGTCTCATTTGTTTGGTACCAAAATGCTCAGGTGGGTTATTTCAGGAAATTAGGGAAACAAGTCCTGAGAGTCAATTTAACTGGTTGAGTTTGAAGGAATAACATTTGGCAGTGAGAAAATTCACCCTGGGGAAGCTGATGGGATGACCTGGACTGAGCAACAGTTTTGAGGACAGGAGGAGTGGCCTCTGGAATAAAATAGATTTCCAATTTATGGTCTTGTTTGTTTGTTACCAGAATGCTCAGGTGGGTTATTTAAAGGATGTTCTTGGTCTTGTTGTATCTCCAATCCTTCTGGGTGGTTTCCACTCATTTCTGAGGTGAAGACAGAACCTGTCCCAGATCTCTCTGACGTTGGAATTCTCCTTTTGGTTTTTCAGGCTGGCCAACAGCGTTGGTGGGAGCAGGAAATCACCGTGAATGGGAACATCCAGAAGGGAGAACTGATCACCTACAACCTCACCGAGCTCATCAAGCCCGAGGCCTACGAAGTCAGGCTGACCCCCATCACCAGATTTGGGGAGGGGGACTCCACCATTCGGGTCATCAAATACAGTGGTAAGAACTTTAAGGGCCAGGAAATGTTTTATTGGCGTGTTCTGGGTCTGCTGGGCAGGGTCTGAACGTTCCCCAATCCTGAAATAATCCATCAAAACAATCATCCAGGAAGGAGGAGCCGGGGAGAAATTAAAGCCTTCACCACTGGGAAGGTTCATGACGACAAAAAGCAAACAAAAAAAGCAAACAACAAAAAGAAAAAAAAAAAAATCTGAACAGATCAAATTCAAAATCATCTCCAATTTTTTTGTGAAATGAAGGAAAAAATAGGAAAAAGGAAATAAAGTTAAAAATCAGTGTTCATTTCTAATAGCTCATTTCGAGTCGGTTCTTGCTTGGAGCTCTTTGAAGGACAACAAGTTTTGAAGAAAAAATCCACAAAACAAATAGTCTGAAGGTGTCAAAACGGTGCTGTGATATCAAAATGCCTTTTTTTCCCCCCTCAGAATGAGCACTGTGGAGAAGGTTTTATTTTCACATGCGTTATTTTCATGTGCATTATTTTCACATGAATTATTTTCTTGTGAATTATTTTCTTGTGAATTATTTTCTTGTGAATTATTTTCTTTTAAAAAGGTGACTGTTTCTAGTCCCATGCAGGTTTATGTAATGTATAAATTTCTATAATATATGACACAAAGGGCATTTGCACATTTTCCTCTGAAAGGTTACAAATCACAAAGATTTGTCCACTTGAATCTAACAAGAAAAAGGGAGTTTCCGGACATCCTTCCATGCATTCTCCCAGCATTCCCAGGAATTAATTCCTCTGGTAAACCCCTCAAAATACCTTTTTTGGGGTATTTATCTAATGAATAACTGACTCTTTTCTTTGGTTTGTTTTTCTGCTGTAAAAAGTGCACTGAAGGGCAAGAGATACCTTGGAGAGGAGGTTGGAACTGGATGGGCTTTAAGGTCCCTTCCAACCCAAACCATTCCAGGATTCTTTCATGAGGAATGTTGCCAATCCCACAGGGAAAAAGCCATGTGGACACAGGCCAAGTGTAGCTCCAGTTGCTCCAGGAGCTGGATCCAGCACTGATTAGTGCTCACAGAGAGCCCAAAGCAGGACATTCCACTCAGCAAAAGAAAAACCAACCTACACATCCAAGACTTGCTTTCCAAAATCATTATTGGACAAAGGAGTGAATGAATCTTAAAAAAAATTAAATATCTGGTGCATCCCTTGTGCAATTCTTCATGGGCAGTGATGAGCTCAGCCCTCCTCAATCTCATCATCAATTAGTTTGATCACTGGTTTAATGTCAAGGGGGAAAAAAATCACATTAAGGACCTCAAATCTCAACTGTAAAGGCTGGAGGAGCCATTTCACCAAGTGCCACATCTGCTGCTGCTGGGGTGGGTGAATCTTGGGTTCCACCTGCCACAGGAAAGGGTTTGAGAAGTCTACATTTCCCAAAGCTCCTGAAGGCAAAATCCCAGCTAAACAAAAGGACTTGGAATAATAAACTCGTGGAATAGTTTGGGCTGGAAGAGACTTAAGGCTCTTCTCATTCTACCCCCTGCCGTGGGCAGGGACACCTTCCACTAGCCCAGGTTGCTCCAAGCCCCATCCAACCTGGCCTTGGACACTTCCAGGGATGGGAATAAACAGGATAAACAAGGATGACTTGTTTCTAGATCCATGACCACACAAATGAGGAGAAGATGGAGATTCTGCTGCAATGCCTGTGGGACTTTGGCTCCTTGTTGGACCTCTTTGCCCTAATAAGTCCCTGTCTCCTGGCAGTGGTAGGAGTGTGGTCTCTTTGCACACACACAAGGGAAAGACTCAGAGTCTTCCCAAAAGTCAGGAACTGAATCTTCATGCAGATATTTGGGGTTTCTCTGCAGCAAACCCAAATTCTCCGTGCTGGCTGTGATGGAGATGATTATATCCTCACAACCAGCCACTGCCCTCTCCCATGGACCCCAAAAATTCCCCCCGTGACTTATGCACTGACCAGTGCCCTCATAAGAAGCTACACCCACCCTTTTGGTCCCTCAGTCCCTCCTGCTCTTTTTTGGTGGTGTCTGGATTTTGGCAACTCTCCGGAGGTCGATTGAGGTCCCGACCGAGCTGAGCTGGAGCTTTCACTGCAACACGATGTGATTCCCGTTTCCAGCCCCTGCCTGGCAGGAAGAACATTCCCATGGCAGCATAAAAGGAGTGTTTTGTCCCCTGCAAATGTTTCTCCTGCTCTCTGCCATCGGTGCAGATGTGAACGACATCCCGGTTCAAACGTGCCGAGGAGGTGCCAACACCACATCCAGACACCCGGGAGGGGGGAAGAGGCTGCTTTTGGAGCAGCACTCAGGTCCTGACAAACTCCCAGCTTCACAAATCCTGAGCCAGACATTTATCAAAGAGCTGAACCCGCAGTGACTGCCCTTTGAAGAGGGATCCCAGAGCCACTGGGGCTTTGTGTGCTTAAAATCCCCATTTTTCTCTCCCCGAGTGGTGCCAGCAAACTATTACCGGGTTGGTTTATGGGTGTTAGAGCTCCAACTGGAAAATAATGATCTCACACACCTTATCACGGTGCAAATCCAGTGCTTATCAACTGCAAAGCTGGAATGTTAAAGGAGCAGTTAATGGGCTGGTGGGATGCCCAGCACCTGACCTGCAGCAGTGTGAGGAGTCATTCTGTACGACACCCAGGGAATAAAAGGCAGCAGGAGAACGTTCCTGAAAAGAATTAAAACCTTTTTTTACATTTTTCTCCCATTATCCACTTTTTTTTAAGTTGTGAGACCTCAGGCAAGGAGGGAAACGTTTGCCTTTTCCTGTGTTCAGTGGGATTTGGGGCGAGTTTGTCCCCGTGTGTTCAGTTTGGAGCAGCCCTGCAGAACTGGCCTCCAGCGGTGTCAGCTCTTCTTCCTCATCCCACCCCATCAGGAATACCCTTTTTGGAGAACCAGGACCCAGGGAATTGTCACAGAATCCTAGAATCCATTGGGTTGGAAGGGTTTTAATGACCATCCTGTTCCAAACCTCTGCCCACCTTCCACTAGCCCAGGTTGTTCCAAGCTCCAGGGATGTCCTTTCTCCAAGGACGGAGACTTCCCAACCTCTCTGTGCAGCCTTTTTGGTGCTCCATCACCCTCAGAGGGAGAAAGTTCATTTATCAGCTTTGAAATGCCCCAAGAGATTCATATTTTTCGAGGATTCCCACCGCAAATATTTTTTTGCCTCGTTTTTTTTTTCGGAACTCTCGCCAGCCTAATAGGATTTCACCCCATCCTAAAGAAATGCAGCCAGTGTGAAAAGCAGATCAGACACTCTGTGGAGAAAACTGCTAAAAATGTGGCTTTTTGCATTGAAGGAATGCATTAACTTTCCCAGCCCAGTCTGATTTTTTGAGCAAATTGAGGATAAATGGACCGTGCACTGCCCGGGTTTCACTTGGACAGCTTAAGCTGGGTTTTTTTAGGAGGACAATCTTGAGTTGGTACCAGGCAGGAGTGATTTCTGTAGGGTGATTGTGAAGCGTGGAAGGATCAACAGGACATTTCTGGAGCGTTCATTGTGTTTGCTGCTTATTCAAGAGGAAAAAGCTCCTCTAGGTTTTTTTCCACCCTCTGGACATGCCCATGTCCCTCCAGTGGCTTTAAAACTGCTCCAGTAACACTTTAAGATGAGATGTCTTAACTTTCAGACTGTTTAAGTAAAGCCACATTAATCCCATTTGTGAGTTCAGGTTTATTGGGTCGCACACCTTTGGATGCAAAATTGTCCTTAAAATTTGAAAATTACCCTGGAAATGGCTAATATATAAAATAATACAGAAAAATAACAGCTCCCAATGTTGAATATCCTAAATAAGGAGACTATTAGAGCAGGAAGACCTCAGTAATTAGTTTTTTATGCGTCTCCTGCCATCCCAAGCGGGAGCTGTAAATACAAAATAAAACCTCTGCGGCTTCTGGTGCCACGAATCACAAACTTACCCATGGCACAAGGATTTCCCAGGCAAATCCCTTGCCTGCCATGAATTATTCTCTGCTCTGCACATGGAAGGACAGGAGAAAAGAGCAATTCTCACAGTGGGAGTGACATTGATAATCCCAGGCAAACATCACTTGGCAGATTCTTCGGGAGCTCCGTGTGTGACTGTGCTGGTGAGCACAGTCTGGCAAGGAAATACAGACAGGGCAGCTGGAGGAGCTCTGATGAGTATTTTGGAGGGTAATTCAAAGCAGAGATGGCTCAGAGGAACAGCAGGTACATCTTGGAGCAGCGGCTTCAACATTATCTCCATCGCTTTATGTAAATCTGTGTCAGCCTGTTTGATGGGAACTGGCTGTGAGATCCCACTAAAACTTCGGTGGGTGAGGTGAAAACACTAAAACTGAAATCATAGAATCATAGAATCATTCA